ATAAGAACAGATGTAGAGGGACTATTTGTGATATCAGTAGAATGACAAATGGGGCTGTGGCTGGTATTTTTCACTTTGTCTGTTCCTCCTGTCTCTAGCTGGTGTGACAGAATAAGCACAGTTTTCATTCCTATGGAGTCTGAGCTCTTAACAATCCCTACCCACACATGCCTAGTGTTATAAGTGAAAAAGTGACAGATTCCACTCTCATCTCCATCTCAAAGTTGTGCATTCTGGCTGTAGGAGAAAACCCACTCTGCCCTGATCGCTGGCTCAGAGTATTTACCTCATCACAAGAGCTCCCCAGCCTGGCTGGTGACCTTTCATGCTGGTTTTACAACTTCCATTGTTAGATAATTCATTATCCAAGCCAGCGCTCTTCTGAAGGTGAAATGAAGCTTCATTAATATTTCCACGAGAACAGCAGGTGAATACCCAAATTGGCCTAGGTAACTTGCAAAGTATGCTTATCCTAACAATAAAAAAGCGTGTCCTCACCACTCTTCTGCCAGGCCAGTGAATTCCGTGTGGTCAGCCCTCTGCCTTCTTTCGCTGCAAAATGAGTTGCTCGGTCAGAAGCAATCCTATGTGGGATGACATGACATTATGTGTGTCACCTGATGTTGAAGTCAGAGCGATACAGAAGAAGCAAATTCAAATCTCAAACATGTCACAGGAGGAAGGAATCGCTGTCCTTCCATGATACAGTCAGCCCGACACCAGGTTATCTGATGCCTCTGGACTAGCGGATGACATCAGGTGACAAATCAAGAGCCTCTCCTCCTGCAAAGAAGGACAAACATTCTAACAGTCTAGTCTTATTCTAAGGAGTTCATTTATATAACTCTTCCCCGAAAGTCCTTCTCATCAATTCTCATTTCTTCCAAGTCCTGGCCGTATCGGTAAACATTTAGTCCCTGTCTGTGGTTATGCCACAGGCCATCTGTCCTCGTGGGAAAAATGTATCTTACTTAAAGCTCTTCACACTAGGAGGCATCTTCCTCTCTACTGTGCTTCAGGACCATTCCTGAATGGAGCTGCAGAGCCACAGCTGCCCACATCTGGAGTCAGAATAATCTGTGTATCTTTTCATATTTTTTCTCCTCCTGCAAAGAAGGACAAACATTCTAACAGTCTAGTCTTATTCGAAGGAGCTTCATTTATATAACTCTTCCCCGAAAGTCCTCTCATCACATTCTCATTTCTTCCAAGTCCGGGCCCGTATCGGTAAACATTTAGTCCCTGTCTGTGGTTATGCCACAGGCCATCTGTCCTCGTGGGAAAAATGTATCTTACTTAAAGCTCTTCACACTAGGAGGCATCTTCCTCTCTACTGTGCTTCAGGACCATTCCTGAATGGAGCTGCAGAGCCACAGCTGCCCACATCTGGAGTCAGAATAATCTGTGTATCTTTTCATATTTTTTCCTTTACAGCCAGTGAAGTCATGAAGAATTCCCCAAGTCTAGACTAACTGGGTGCTGTGAGTTCATCAACGCCTCTTGCATGTCCTGCCAAGACCAATCCTGCACTTAAGCTTGCACTTACAAAGTTCGGCTGAGCACTTCTCACCTCACAGTGTCAGAGATAACAATTGATAACAGGCGGCCTGGGTTACCCGGCCTTCTGGTGCTATGTTGATCAAGGTCCTAGCCATAAGCTGTTTCTCGGAACTGTTCCTTGACAAAGAAGGCTTGCATTTGCTTCAAGACTAGAGAGGCAACTGCTGATATCTCCATCGGAACCACACTCACATAGCTTCCTCATCTGCCAGGGACACACCAAGTCCCTTGAGGTCTGTTAGGTCCTAAGAGGCAAATCTCAGCACCGCTTGCATCACCTGGACCATCTAGAAAGGCTCCTTGCCCTGGGTCCACTCTGGCAGGCCTTCCTGACCTGAGTATTTGAGAACCACATCCAAACGTGACATACGCTATCTCCAAATCCAAAGGGGCCACAAAGAAAAATCAAACCATATTCCTTTCTTCTGGGAGGGGCACAAGGAGCACTGACGCCTTTCACTCTCAAAGGTACCCCGTGTGCCTCACAGCTCATGGCATTTGTCTCCCTTCCCATACCTTCATGTCTACACGGTACACTAGGTCTTCCTGCAAGGTCTTGCAGTAACAACATGGCTGACCCATATGACGTCCTATGAGATGGCAACAGAAGCGAGCTCACTGGCATCAGGACTGTAGAGCAGATGTCCTGAAGCAAGGAGGAAGGGGTGCGATGTACTTCCCATTGGGTTACTGGAAGAGAGAGGAAGGAACAGTTCATCACTTGAATGGCTGCTTCTTATTAGATGCTGGAATTTGTATTGATTTGCTTCTGTGATGAGACTACATTGGGAAAGGCCACTGCTGACATCAGCCCCCCCAAGTCCATTGCTCTTCTCAACAGTCCACCAGAGCATTAAGGACAGACCGTCTCCGGGTTGCTGTTCCCTGGGGAGTGGACTTTGAGATGAGCAGCCTGTATCATCACCTTTGCAGGAAGCAGAGGAAGGAAAATTAGGAAACAGAACAAGTGGGCAAGGCTGTAGTCCTAGTAAAGCCCTAGCTGATTTCACAGGGAGCACTGATGGCTGGGTGAGTTGCTCTGGACAGGGCACAGGGACAAGGTCTTTATGCCTCGGAATCAGCCAGTCTTTGAGGCGAACATTCCCCCAAAGGAGGTGTGACCTTGGTAGAAGGCAAATCCTGGAGAAGACCTCTACTGCCAGACGTTAGTCCCCATGTGAGGAGGTAAGTGATTCATCAGTGACACACACAGAGCACCCACTGCCCTGGAAGTGATCTTACTTATTTAACTATTGGCATGGCTGACCGTGGCACCCAGGGCCTGGCCCATGCTAGGCGAGTGCTCTACTGCTGAGCCACCCCCAGCCTTCAGAGTAGCAGCTTTCATATTTGCTCTGCACGGTCTTACCGTGCTTCTTGTCCTAAGAGTTCTCTGCAGTTTCAGAACTCATGGTGGGGAGCTGTACCATCTTCGTGCATCTCCACTTACACATCCACGAACAGAGAAATAATTCCAGAGCGAGGAGCACAGGACTACTGTGAGGTAAACCTAGTGAAAACTACTACTTCCTGTGTTCCTTGAACTCCCATTCTGCTCAGAAGACCACCCACTTCCAGGATTAGGGTTAGCTCGGGACCAGTGTCAAAAACTAAGTGCTGGACGTTCTGCTTTCCGGTGCACACTCGCCCTGCAGAAACTAAGGAGGAAGACGGGTGGTTTTCATGGGTTTCTTCCTCCAGGATTCTCAAAACTTCAGGGTCTTCCAAATGTGTCAGTGGACTCCGGTGCGGGAACTAGCTACAGGCATGTGACCCTCTGTTGGAATGGTTTGTGTCAGGCCTGTGCACCAGACTTACTTTGGTTGCCAAAATCAAGTTGGACCTTAGACAGAAGCTCGTTCATCTCAGCCTTGCGAATGGCTGTCCATGCCTAAAGATGCATCCACGTCTGCTCGTCCTGCCTAGCACCAAACCCTGTTTTCCTAAGAAGCCAGGCTGCCTTCCTCCCTAACTAATGGGTCCATTTGGCCTCTGCTGTGTAAGATCCTTTTGTTCTTATTGAAATTCATACCTCAGCCTAGCAAACGCCCAGAAGACACTTTTTTAAAAATGTGGGCACCTCTAACACTGATGCAGCTGTCTCCGCTATGGTGGGCAGTTCCTTCCGGGCCCAGTAACTCACAGCTGATAAATCTACCTCTTTCCCTGTCTTTAATTTCTCATCTTAAGGGGTTTCTGGCATCTCAATTTTTATTTAGTTGAGTGACCATTTTTCTGTCTACTTGCCCTATCAATTCAAAGAAAAATATTGAAGTCTCCAACTGTAACCAGGGCTTTGTCTATTGCTCCTCTTAGTTCTGTCAGTTTTTGCTTCAAGTATTTTGAAGCTTTGTTTAATATAAATACACATGTAAGATTACTGTGTCTTCTTTATTGCTATGTAACATCTTTCTACCTCTTCCTCGTTCTGATCAAAGCAGAATTCAGACCTAGGCAAATTGCCTTTTTCTTTCTTTGTCAAATAGGGCGGTAATTTCTATCCTCAGAGTAGTTTTTCCTTTCTGGCTTTTTTTTTTTTTTTTTTGAAACACTGTCTTTCTGTGTAACGCAGGCTGACCTGAAGCTTGCTATGTAACCCAGGCTGGCCTCAAACTTGTGATCCTCCTGCCTCAGCCTCCCAAGTGCTGGGATTACAGGTGTGCACCGCCACGCCCAGCTATCTTTATGAGATTCTGAAAAATAAATGAAGTGCCTGGATAAAAATCCCTAATTTTCTGCACACTTTCTTAGCAAAGACTCAACAGAAGTAAGCGTCTTTTCTTCTGTCTTCGCCCGCCCGAAGGCAGGTAAACCCGTGTCCTGATTATTTAGCCACACCCTGCCTCACTGCAAGCCACATACTAAATTATGAGAGAGGCTCTCGGTAATGTCAGAAGTGAAAACACCATCCGTACATCGAGCTTCTGACACTCAGCTCCTGAAGGAGTCAACCTGAGTCAGATGAACCTCGTGGCTCCAGGGTTAGAAAAACCTGAATTCAAATCCCAGCTCTGCTTCTCACACAACGGTGCAAACAACCGCACGCTGCTTTCAAGTTGCCCATCGGAGCCTCATCCAGCAGGGAGGGTGTCTGTGGGGTTTGTCCAAGGTGGTGCACGACAGGCACACAGCTATGCCCAGCGGGCGATGCCTGCTTATTGTTTCTGTCAACACATCTTGTTACTTAGTACTGTGGCGTGGGACCCACTATGAACAGTGCGATGCCGTGGGAGGGACGGTGCGGTGACACTCATGAGCCTCAGCCGCAAGCGATGGAGAAGCCCCGGCAGCCGGGACGCCATGTCCCTGCCTGGCCCTTGTGGAGAAAGATCTTGTTTGATGCGATTGTCATGGGAGACATGCCGGGTGAGGTGGGGGTGGGGGTTCATGTTACTGAAGCATGTTAATTTCATCTTTAATTCTGTGTTCCCAATCTGCAGCTTCTGTAATCTGACGGCCATATTTGCAGTTGAGACCATTGGCGTGATTCCCAAGTAAGGAGCGGGGCCGAGTGGGGCTTTAAGGAAGGAATTTCTAAGTGATGTGAATGTCACCTGAGAGGAGACGCTCCTCAGGGCCTCCCAGGGAGACTCGGGTCCCCAGATTAAATCCTGTTATCAAAATATTATTCAATGCGATGTGATTTAGTGAAGCCTAACAACAACAACAACAAAACTTGTATGAAGTGTTCATTGCAGAGCCCGTGGCTTACACAAGTCTAGATTTAGGATTTTTTTTTGTTACTGTCTTTCTACTGGTGAAATGTCTTGTTACTTTCCTGAAGCCCTAATATTTCCATTCTATATATGACAGCCTGACACTGAGGGAGGAATTGCTGAGAATCTCGCTAACCTTCACGCGCCCTCTTTGGTTCTAGCCTGCCCTTCAGCTGCCTGTGCTTACCCTGTCTCCACCCCAACTTCCTGGGAAATAGGAGAATGCCAAGGTTGGGACTGGGAGATGGCCGTATTGGACCCTGTCACTGTAAGCCTGAGTCAGCCTTCAGCCACTGCTGTCACTCAGAAGCATCCGGGAAACAAGCAGTAAAGACACTGATTTCCCTGGACTCGGCTCCAGTCAAAAGTGTCAAAGTCTTGACGCTAATGGGAGGGCCTCCAGTGATTTTGCTTCTCTGTCCTGGGCCTGGAGTTTGGGATTATTTTTGTTTATTTGTTGCAAAATGTTAAATAAATATAGAAGACGGGCCTGACATGTCTGTCACTCAGTAGCAAAGCACAAGAAGCCCTGGGTTCCATACCCAGTGCCCAGACAATTAATTTACTTGTTACTTAATCTTACCGACTCCTCAGTTTTTTGTGAGAATGGAAGGTTAATGGTATGAATAGTCCACAGATGAGATGAACCAAGAGTTGCTCCTAAGTAACTTTGGCACATGAACGTAACTTCTGTAGGGACTTCTCTTCCTCATTAGGTTGGGAGTGTTTGGTTAGGTGACTGTGGAAAGTAATGTGTCTGTCCACATCCCCACCCACAGGAAGGAGGGAGGGAGAGAAAGGATGGATGGGAGGCCTGCCTGGCAGGCAAATTCACCAAGGCCTCACCTGTCCTCTGAGCCCTCCCTCCCCATCCTCAGGAGAAAGCAGGCTCTCCCCAGAGGACACTGCTTCACCTGCGGCCCTCATACCTGATGCTGATTTTTTGGGTTTTTTTACAACTTCTGTGTGCCTGGAGGCCTCACTAGCACTTCCACATCATTAGGTGTCCTGGTTCTTATTCTAAGAAAGCAGAAAAAGCAAAACAAGCCTACGCTGGTCTTCCAGGCAAATGGTACCTGCTCTGGCTCCAGCTCTCCCTGTCCTCATCCTGTTGTCTCCAGCTCCCGAGGATTCACTGATGACTGTGGTCTCACCACAGTTTTCCTCTCCCCACCCAGCCCCACTGATGGTCCCCTGTTCAACTCTGCCAACATCAAGCTTTTGCTCATCCTTGATGACCTCCTCTCTTCACGTCACCGTTCACCACAACCACTCCTTGGATGCCATCATTTCCATAACTGCTCTGCCTCCTAACTTTGCTTTCCTTTTTTGTGCAGCACTGAGATTTGAACTCAGAGCTTCATGCTTGCTAGAGCTTACCACTTGAGCCACTTCACCAGCCCTTTTGTTTTTTAAAATTTATTCTTTGTTTTTAGAAGTACTGGGGATTGAACTCAGAGCCTCATGTTTGCTAAGCAGGCATTCTACCGCTCGAGCCACCCGACCAGCTCTCTGTTTCTTAGAGCTGCTCGCAGCCTCCTGTCCTTCCCACTTGACTCCTCTTCCAGTCTTTGTTACTTCCCATTTTCTTACATTAGAGTTCAGTTTCTGTGACCCTTACCAGACTCCTTGGTAAGGGAAGTCTAGGAAAAACCCCCAACTTTCCTGCCACTATTTCTGGACTACACCTGAGCAGCCCAAGAAAAGCTCCACAACCAGGCAGACTGATCACCAAACTGCCTGGGACTCTTACTGTCTTTCGTTGGCTCAGCTGATGCTGCCAGACTTTATCCAAACCTCCTCCTCACACCTGCTTTGCTTAACTGCCATCAGATCAGCTGGTTCCACCTTCGCAGAGACACTGGGAGTCCTTGGATAGAACGCTTTCCATTCCTTATTCTACACGTAAACATCTGCTCACAGCTGTCTCCACGCTGTCCTCGTCCCACCTGCGACACTAAAGGAACTAACGTTCCTACTGTTCAAACATAACACGACCCCTGTTTTGCACCCTACCGCTTCCCACTTTCTAAGCAGGTTTTCAAGGAAATGATCCCTTCTCTCTTCTCGCACTCGACGTTGCCTCTCAACCTGATCCAATAGCCTCAAATTTCACCTTCGCAGGATGAAACTTCTCAAGAAGCTTGTCTACACCCAGTCTCCACATCCCTGTGTTCCAGCCGTTCCCCCAGGCTGTCCAGCCTGGTTTCTGTGTAATCACTTCTCCATTTAGTTCTCACTAGAATAGCTTCGCCTCCATTAACCTAACTGGTATTTTTTCAATCCTTGTTTTATTTGATCTTTCATAAGCATTGACTCTTCCTAAGTTGGCTGGTTGTAATAACTATTGTTTTTTTCTAAACTATAGAGTCTTTTCTCTCACTCCCCTCTCCTCTCTCTCCCTCTCCCTCTCCTTCTCTCTGTCTCTCCTCTCTCTCTCTCTCATCCTTTTTTAGCAGCCATTAAGTCCTGGCCTCCCTCGAGGCTCAGTCCTGTCCTCTGAGCCGCTCTGCTAAGCTCGTCCACACCTGTGGCTTCAATTAGCACCCATACACACGTGAATTCCAGATTGCCTCTCCAGCCCAGTCCAGGGCCATTTATTTATCCCACCATCTACTTAACCTCTTCTCTGAGCTTTCTCAAAGATTACTCAAACTAGGTATGTCCAACAGCAAGCTCACATCTTAGCACCCACTCCGGAAGCCCAGTTTTTGTCCTTCCTTAAAACTGATCCATCAGGTAATTACGTATGCCACGTGCATTGTTCTCGGCCAGCTCCAGGAGAGTCCAGTTGCGTAGGCTGTGATGTGAATGGTGTCCACTGTGGTGACCCTGTTTTCCAAAATTCCTCTCCCAGGAAGTGGTACATCCAACTATGCAAGCTGGATGCCTAGGAGTCAAAAAACCCAAACCAAAAACCTATTCTCTCTCTTTCTCTCTCTCTCTCTCTCCCCTGCCCTTATTTTCTCAACTTCAGGCCCATCAACCTTCTTTCAGTCTTCCGCCTTCTCTATACTCTGTCCATAGCAGGGCCTCTGTGCACACCACATCTTCTGTCTGGAATAGCTTCCTTTCCTTCTTTACCTGTCATTTAGCAAGGTTACTTCTATCTAGTCCTCGGATCAGGGGAGAATTATCCTTTCCCCATGAAGACATTTCTTGATCCCATCCCCCAGATCAGGGGCTTTCACGGCATTGTATTTCGCTCCTCCTTAGCTCTTACCGGTGTGTGAGATTATGTCCTCACCATATAAGCTCCCTAGGACGGGGCTCATGTGAGTTTCTGCTTATTGCTGTATCACCTTGCACAGCATGTGGTAGATATCAGATGGTTATGTTACTTAATTAAGATCCAAGAAAAAGGAATGCATTCTCTGAAGCCAAATTATGTTTAGGAGAAAGATCAGACTAAGACACCTGGGGACTGGGGAAAGTGTAGCACTGACAACAAATAATTATGGCAGAAAGGGAGCCAGAAACTAACGTCACATGCTAGCACACCAATAGGAAACCACACTTAAGTGCTAGCCTAAGGAATAAATCCTCTCTCACAAGGGGTGCCCACGTAGAGTCCCAGGTGAAAAGGCATCAGATGACTGGTACCCAGCTGAGAGTGGTGTCCAGTAAGTGGTATACATACACACTGTCACACAGACACACAGACACACAGACACACACACACACACACACACACACACACACACACACACACACCTGGTTGGCCCTCAGGTACCTCAAAGTCAATATGCCCCAAAGTAAACCAGCTATATTCACATCCACACAAAGTGCTCTAAGCTGGGTGTGGTGGAGCACATCCACAGTGCCAGCTACTACAAAGGCTAAGGCAGGAGAAACCCTTGAGCCCAGGAGTTCAAGACTACCCTGGGTGACCTAGAAGGAACTTACCTGCCCATTTCCTAACAAAAAAAAAGGGAATTGGAGTGGAGAATCTTCTCTCTGGACGTCCTCTCAGTGAGTGGTGACACCATCCTCACAATGCCTAACTCCCAAATTGGGCAGCGTCCTTTATTTGCTTATGTTTCTCAAATGCTACTTCTTAACAACTACCAAGACGAATCCAGCCGAACTTCTGTGTTCATCTTAGGCCTAGCCCTTCCTCTCCATTTCTTCAACCACTCATTCAGTAAGTCTCACATCAGCCCTTGCCAGGTGATTACAAACACCTCAAAACTGGTTTTTCTGCCTTTGCACTCAAGCTTCACTCTGATCCATCTGTCACACTGCCATCAGAATTGCCCTTCTGAAATGCCAATCCTATAGCACACCTCTGAGGCTCCCTCTTGTCTTTTGGCGAAAATCCATACTGTGTGGTGATGTGAGCTTTCTCATCTGGCCCCTGCCAACTGCCCACCTATCTTTTTTTTTTTTTCCTCCTCTCATTTTGAGGATCAAACCTCCCCCATGCTGGGCAAGCGCTATCCCACAAAGCCACAGCCCAGCTCCCTGTCCACTTGTCATTTCTTGTCTCTTATCTCCCTGCCTGGCACTTGAAATCTAGTCATATTGAGCTGACATTCACTTCCAGAATGTCCCAGAGAGATCTGGAAGTTTCCCCAAGCTTTCATGGCCTTCACATGTATCTCCCTTTGCCTAAAACACCCTTCCACCTTAGTCACGTCCTCCACTGCCAGGCGTTTTATCCAGCTGGCCCTCCCCTTACTCGGGTGAGGGTTCCCTCCCCTGGAAGGCCTCCCATGAACCTGGCTCCACAGAACCACATGCTTCCTTCTCTTGTCAGTTCCACACGGCTTCTTCCCTGGTCAGCCTCACACTTGGTCATCTTGAGGACAGACACCATGTCTCACTAACCTGTGTTCTCTGTCAGTGGCACAGCAGCTAGATATTCAAAAGCTGCTTGACTAAGTAAGTTAACAGCCAGAGTGGGAACAGTGGCCTCTGGTGACGTTGGCTGTTGTCCTGTTTCAGACCAAATGTCTACTTGGTGGCTGCCTTCCTTTTCATCCTGATGCTGGTGTTCTTCACGATTCTCGTCCTGAGCTACTTCCACTACCAGAGGATTTACAGACAGTATATTTATGAACCACTTCACAAGCCTCAAAACAAACAAAAGAAAAATTAGGGAAACCAAAAGCTTATTCCGAATGTGTGTGTGTAGAAAATGAACTATATATGTATATATACTCTAGGCTCGTAGCATTATCAAATTCAAGATCCGAAAAATGTTCTTACGTTACCCTCAAATGTTTTCATATACATTGTGTTAAAGCAATCCTTAATGCGTTTATATTCATTAACTCTATAAACTGTTTTTACTGCATTTAAAAAACTAGAATGTGTTTGGCTATTATAATTCTTCCTAACAGTAAAAGCAAATTTTCAAAAATATATAAATGTGCCACATATTATTTTGAATGAAATTTTTCATATGCAACCTTTCGTGACTTGTAGTTAATTTGTAGCATATAAGGGACTTAATAAAGGTGCATGGATTTAAATAATCTATCTTGAAGATTTTAGAAGTTTTTCTAGCGGCAGATTCACACATGAAATGGGAACATTATTACATCAAAAATGAGGCGGCCAGGCCCGACGGTCGCCCTCACTGGCTGGTTCCCCGCCTACCTGGCCTCCGTCCACGCTCCCTGCCTCCTCCTGCTCTTGCCTTCACTCTCCCTCGGTCCCTCTGTTCTCCCTTCGTCCACTCTCTCTTCATCCATATTCCCTCTGTTCTTCCATCCACTTTCTCTCTGCCCTTCTCTTCTCTCTCAGTCCGTTCATTCCTACTGTCCATCCGTCCGTCTGCTTCCCCACCGTCCAGTCTCCTACTGTCCTACCATTCTCACTCTGTCTGTTCTCCCTCTGACCCTCCACTCTGTTCCTCCACTTCCCCCGACCCTCCGCTGTCCCTCCGTCTGTCCAATCTTCCTCTGTCCACTCACCCTCTGTCCTTCCATCCCTACCCTCTCCCTCCGTCCATCCACCCTCCCTATGTCCGCTCTCCCTCCGATCACTCTCCCTTGGTCTTTCGTCCACCCTCCCACCGTCCTCTGTCCCGGGCGGGCCTACCCGCCCATCGCGCCCATGTGGCCACTTCTGTCCTGCGTTTCCCTCGGGAGCGGCGCGGGCGGCGGGCCCCAGAGTGCTAGCGCTGGACTTCCGCTCTCTTCTCCTCGTGGCAGAAGTGGGTGCGGGGGCTCTTGCTGGTCGTCTGGCCGGCTGCCGCTGCCTGGAGGGTGGGAAGTATTCCCTGCAACGCCTGCCGGGAGAGGAAATGTGGAGGAGGAGGGTGTGGAGGGCTTGGCACCATCCCTTCCTCCAGCCTGCAGCGACAATCACTCCTGGACATGTCCCTGGTCACGCTCCAGCTCTGCCACATGCTAGTGGAGCCCAACCTCTGCCGCTCAGTCCTTATTGCCAGCACAGTCCGTCAGATCCAGGAGGAGATGAGCCGGGATGGTGTGTGGCCTGGGGGGCACCACTTGACCGCCTGGTGTCCTCGGAGATCGATCCTGCGTCACACAGCGAGAGGGTCCGAGGGGGAGTACCCTGGTCCTGAACAAGACACTGGCCCCTGCCAGGTCTGGCTTCTGAACTTTCCATGGTCAGCTCAGTACAGGATCCAAGGAACCCTCAGAGCAACCTCTGGGAGATGGACACCCCTCAAGAAAACAGGGGAAGCTTTCAGAAGTCACCAGATCAGATATTTGAGACCCTGGAGAACAAAAACTCCAGCTCCGTGGAGGAGCTTTCCTCAGACGTGGACAGTTCCTACTACGACCTGGACACAGTGCTGACTGGAATGATGAGTGGCACCAAGCCCAGCCTCTGCAATGGACTCGAGGGCTTTGCAGCAGCCGCCCCTCCTCCCACTTCGAGCTGCAAGTCTGACCTGGCTGAGCTAGACCATGTGGTAGAGATCCTGGTGGAGACCTGAGAGGAGGCCAGGGGGCCAACGACAAGGCCACGGGCCCCAGAGCGTTTATCAGATGTGTACAGAGCACTTGGTCTTGTGAAGGAAGCCCTCGCCAACCACAGCCAACGACCTAGCCCTGCTTGACCTGCTGTTGATTGTGAAAACATCCTGGACAGATTGCCACTGGCACTGCCCCAAGCCTGACCTCCTCCCAAGGAGTACTATGGACAGAGGCTGATTCTGCTGCTACATTAGGAAACTTTTACAGCCTAAACAATTATAGTTACTGTGTTTCCTTTTTTTTAAGGTTTAATGAGGGAATTATTCTGCAATGAGCTTCGCTAGTAGGTGCAACTTTAGCTTTACACGTGAGCCCTCCATCTTATTCTGCATTCCAGTAGAGTGCGATTATTGAGAACTGAGCACAGCTACTGCACGTCCATCACTAGAGCTCTGCAAGCTGCTTCCTAGACTTGTGTGTATATGATGGAGGGTTTTATTTAAGCCTATTTATATGTAAGTGCACTGAAGGTGAAGGTCAGATGTCTGTAGAGATGGCAGCACCAGTTCATCTTCAGGACTGTGGAGTGTCAGGTGGTTTTATTGTACAGTCTTCTGTGGGTTGTGTTTACAAGATGCCCTCCTGTCTGGTTCCCAGTAACACCCTGTGGGGATAGAGGTGGGAGAAGAGCACTGTGCTCCATGCAGTGTGTACATGGAGGCTTCTGGCACCAGACATGCATTTGGAATGGACGTGTGCCTCTGGGCCCTTGGGTTGGAGAATGCCTATGCTTGCTCTATTCAGTTGGTGCTGGGACATTTAAAGGTTAAAGTCTGGCATGAAGGAAGTCCAATTCCTTGTAGCTTATGGCCCCTCAAACCTAAGGGTCATTAGTGTGCTGCCCCTGAAAGGAGCTAGGGGACCCTAGTGCTCAGATTGCCTGTACCTCCAGGTCCCTGTTGCCAGCTCACAAGTCACACTCTTTGCCCACTTTCACCCTGACACAGGTGTTTCCTGTTTCTCTTGTGCTTTTTCTAACTTCCCACCTGAGCCTAAAATGTCTATTATTTTCTTTTGTGCATATGACCATTTTTTAATATCAATGATATAAACCTCACTTTATTAAAAAAGTTACTCAGCAAACAGAAAAAAAAATGAGGTGACCCATGCTTTAAGTTTTAATTCTAAGTTTCCATATTTGATTTTTTTTTGCTCAAAATAAGCTTCTTAATTTGTTCAACTGTTATTGTAGCTCCCTAAACAATTAGCATTTCTGTCAGTCAGGGTTCAACTGGAGAAGCAGAACCAGCAGGAGTGTGTGTGTGTGTGCGTGTAGATTTATTGAAAAAGAAGGCTGGCTACACAAGTCTGAAAGTCACAGTGCAGGTGTCAGGAATCAGCAGGACAGAGCTCTGTAGCACAAAGTTGTTGTTACCAAAGAATTTCTTTTTTACTAAACTCAGGAATAAGACAGGGCTAACTGCTACTCCTCGTTGTTTTTGAAGTTCTGATATTATAAGAGAAAAAACACAATAACAAGTATAAACGTTGGGGAACAGAGATAAAATTCACTCTTGAAATAGGAAAAATATAAGAAAAAAACCCTATAAACTCCCAAATCCACGACAGGTTTTATGAGACCTGCAAAAGGATGCCGTGGTGGCCATACTTCCCAAAGCCAGGAGCCCACATTGCCACGGGACAGACAGCCTGCAGATAACTGCAAAGACAGCTAATGCAGCAGGCAAAAACTGATAGCCTACAAGGCTGTGGATTAACATTTACCAAGCAGATGGCATGGGAGAGGAGACCAGGGACAGTCACCTCAATGAAAAGTCATGGTCCCTCACAAGTCCCCAGACCAGAGCTGAAGAGGTGGCTGAGAACCTAGGAAGAAGGATTTTACCATACTGTGGCAACTGCCACGGTGTTGATTCCCCCAAAGATGGACAGCTGCCTACTCAGGTGACTGTAACTTGGGGAAAGAGGAGTAGCCAGACATTTTTGATGACTGTAACACACAGGTCTGAGTTGACATTGACACCCAGAATTCCAGAAATGTCATCAAGTCTACCCCCTGTAGAGTCAGGACCTGTGAGAGCTGAGGTGGCCCCTCTCCTGAGGGGTCATCTCCCCAGTCCCCGAATGCATGATTGGAAGTCGAGTCAACTCAACTTGTGGAGTCACTAGGCTGTGAAGTGGGGGCCATCCCAGTGGGGAGGCCAAATGAGAGTCTCTGCGCTGCCCACACACCCCAACAGAATGAGCAAATCATTGTCATTTTCTGGGGGCTGGAGGAGACTGGCAGAGATTAGCGTGACCATTGAAGACCTAAGAGGCATAAGGTTGGTGGCACCTTGCAGTACCTTTGCATTTCCAGTCTGAGCCCTGGGAAAACAGACGGGTCCTAGAGAGCAGTTGTCTCTCCTATGGATTTAACAGGGTAGTGGTGCCAGTTGCAGCTGCTATGCCAGATGGGGTATCATTGCCAGGGCAAATCAGCCCTCAAGTGTGTGGCAAGCAACTGGTGGCTTGGCAAATGTGTTCTTTTGCATCTCAGCAAGAGAAAGGAATCAGCTGCAGTTCACATTCACACAGACCACATTTAATCATCTACCTAGACTCTGGAGTTCCCAGTACACGTCTTCATAAGATGATGTTCAGACAGCAAGCCAAGTTCATGTCTGGTCTAATCATGGTATCTGGGATGCAATACTGTTACGGACCCCAGGGGTCTCATTGTACAAATGAAGAATGAAGCAGGGCTGTGGTGTGGCTCAAATGGTAGAGCACCTGCCTAGTAGGCACGAGGCCCTGAGTTCAAACCCCACTGCCACCAAAAAAGAAAAAAGAGGAGGAGGAGGAACCACAGCGGGCATTGTGGTACATGCCAATAATGCCAGCACTTGGGAGACTGAAGCAGGAAGATCACAGCCTGGATAACATAAGGAGACCCTGTCACACACACGAAAAAAGCCCCTAGGGCATCTGATTGAAGTCATCACCTGGATAGTGGCACTCCTCTGAACAATTTCTGCAACCATTATCAAAGGCCTCAGCAATCACATTTACCTCCATCCAGACTGCTGGCGTGATTCCCAATGGCTTAGCAAGTCACTCCATCACTAAAGACATCTAAGACAAAGAGCACCAGTAGCTCCCAAACTTTTCCGTTGACAATTTCGAAGTGGAAAAATGAACTATTTCAAAATCTACCAGTGAATCCACATGTTCACTTTTAACTCTGAACCACAGATCCAACTGAAGCCTCTGTGTAGTCAACCAACAATGGCTGAGAATGAGCCAGGGAGCGGGAGGGAAACAGAGCACGACCTCCCACATATTCCTCGTGATGGAGCAGAAAGGAGGCCAGCAGTATTCTGGAACACAGAAATCATTCCCTACTCCGGCTGCCACTTCAGAGACATCTGTGACAGCTGGACTCCAGAAGGGCTCTAAAGAGCCCTGTCTCCTGATTTTCACACGTGTAGTCTCTGCTCACGTGGTTCAGAGTTGGTCAGCGTCACCACTAGAATAAAGCCAGGTAAGACACTGTAGCTTCCTTCTTGGTCATTCCCCTATGATCAGTTGCTCTGCTGGGAGCGGCTACCAAGTCGTGAGCTGACCTACAGAGGCCCCGTGGTAATAAAACCAAACCTTCCTGCCAATAGCACTGGGGAGCATGGAGGCCAGCCCTGGGCTAAAGCGAGAAATCCTGGCCTCAGGTGACAGGATACCTGCTGCTCTGTTCAGGGCCATTTGGCACAAACAATGACAACATAACCTGCGAAGCTTTAAATGTGGTTTTCCTTTATCCTGGTTTGGGCAGCTTATGTCTCCCTCCGGGTTCCTGAAGAGAGAGCTGTGCCTCTTGGTTTCAAAGCCTTCCTAAGCTTTTGTGTGTTGCAGGGACCAGGACCCTACAAACCGTCTTTCTGTTTTCTTTTGGCTTCCTGGAAGTTCTCCCTGGATGGGGGACTGGAGGGAATGGGAAGGGAGAAAAAGGACTTCAGCATGAATTTAGTCTCTTTAGCCCTTGCACCAGCTGACATCAAAGCAATGTGGATTTCTAGCTTGAAGTTTTCGAGAGGTTTCAGGACCAGCATAATGGAGATCCTTCAGAAATGCCCGTACTTCTCTTTGCAAAGGTTGAAATTCCAACATCTCTTTTTGTTACCCAAGGCCTAGCAATGACAGCAACTTCTGCCTTTCCCACACCTTAGTGGTCCCTTTTTGTCTTTTTAGATCTTCAATACCCAACTTCAAATTCTTTGTTTTCTTTGTTACTCTGTCTCCTGACAAACACTTCAAGTAAGTCTTCCTGTCATGTTCTACCACTCTGATCTCCTTCAGTTTAAAGAACAAATTTATGAGTGAATGTATGTGTGTGTGTACATGTTCTGTGTTTCATGGGATTGTAAGCTTCATGAGGGCAGGAGTCATGTCTGGCTTATCATGGATGAACTAGTGTACAGTGGCTGAGAGGTAAAAGGCACTCTTCTAATATTTGTGCAGTGACTGAATGAATCATGGATGATTTCCATTACTGATTGATCAATACATTTTTCAAATTCCTTTTGCCCCTTTATCTGTCACTCCCCCATGATAGTCTTGCCTCCTAATTCATTGAGAAAATCAAACTAAATCAGAAAAGAACACCCCATTATTCCACCCCAATGTTCCTAGCATGCCTGTCTCCCTCACCTTCTATGCACCTGCATCTGTCTTTATGCTGTCACTAAGACATGTCCTACTTATGTCCTACTTAAGACCAACTCTTCATTTGTGCCCATCCCTCCCCCTTCTTTCTCTTCAAAATCCCCCCTCCCCTACATAATCAATTTATCTCTTTACATACCAATATGCCCCAATATCTCCCATCGTTACAATGCCCTTCCTTGACTACAGTGCCCTTGCCAGCCCATTGCTCCATGTTTCCATCTGTTTGCTTCTCAAACCATTCAAGCCCCACTCCCCTCAAAGACTGCTCACATCAGACCACTGGCGATGTCTGTGTAGC